GGGCCCAAAGATAATCATTTCGGGTAAAATTAGTATCTCATTATTTTCTGGGATTGTTTGGCCAAGAAGGCTCATTCCAGCCTAGCAATTAACAATATTCCAGTAATGAATTGCGCATAAAAGAAAATCATGTTAAAGCATATCATACCATTTCATAGCATCCCAAATAATTGTAGTGACAAGTAAATAGCAATAGTTAATAGTAGTATATAATAGCATTGCGTATTACTTTGTTTTGGAGGATTGGGAGGGGTGCAAAAAAATCTAGCACTAAGGTAACAAATTATGCTTATTTTTAAATATGGAAATATTTTTGTACTATTGTACATCTGCATTGTAATCGATTCTAGGCCAACATTTTGGTAAAAAGACCTCAAATGGAGGTGATCTTGATTTCTGCGCAATTTTTTTCGTCTCGCTTACAAACGCCAGAAGAGATCTGGCTTCTTGACTTGCAGTTCTATATTTTCTTCAACGACGCCGTTTCCTTGGCCTCGCATGGAGGGCCAACTGCAACGGAACTCGTCGATTTCCGTGGTACTGTTGCTGTTGAACAGCATTTTAGGCGTAGCTGGCGGTTTTCTGGTGCTCACCGGCGCTTTTTTAGACACCGGACGAGTCTGGCCCCTTGAGCCGTTGCTCATCTTCATGCCGGACGTCTTCCAGAAGATGGGCGGCGACGAGGAGATCTTCTCCTTTCTGCTGGGCCACTCTGAACACGGCATAATGACGTCGATTTTGTCGATCGGCGTCTTTCTCGTCGTCTTGTCGGTGTTCGGAGTCACGCTCATCTGCTTTCCCGCCTTTCGACTCTTCCTGCTCTACACTCTGATGGTGGGCAGTATCGCATTTGCCACGAGCGTTGTCATCCTCTACTTCGTCAACGACATGCACTCGGTGCAACGCAAGATCGACCCGGTGGTGGTGGACATGCTTCGTCTCTACTACGTTCTTCACAACCCACCAGAGCCCGGAGGTTCGGTTGACATGGCGACGGCGACGGCGACGGCGACGGCGACGGCGACGGAGATGAGTCATTTGGTCGAGTTGACGGAGGAGGCCAGTTTGATGGAACAGTTTCAACAACTGTGGGACCTGATACAGACACGGTTGCAGTGTTGCGGAGTGACCAACTACACAGACTTCCAGTTGACCCGCGGCTTCGCCGACCAACCGGATCTGGTACCGGCGTCGTGTTGCCGGCGGCCGGACGACGTGGAGTGTTGGGTGAGACCCACGATGAGGGACAGTTTCGTCAAGACGGCGTGTATCTCGATCATCAGGAGGCACATAAAAGAATCCTACAGCACTCTGCTGAATGCGATGGTGGCGGTCGAGGTATTCTGTCTCGCCATCTTCGTCTCGACCTGCATCTACCTCAAATGACCAGGCCTC